AACCAGAGAATGAGCGGATGATCCACGGAGCCTCGAGACTCTTCCTCGTGTCTTTAGTGTGGCTGCTGTCAAGCCCTTTTTATCCATGACGTCATCAACACTCACCTCAACATCGCTGCTATCAGAGGACGAGCCTGCTGCTTGTCTTCTCCGGACCTTGTTGCTCCGGTGCTCCGGGTTCTGCTTGTCCTCCTCCATTCCGCTCCTCTACTGCTCCTCCTGCTCCTCCTGCTCCTCCTCTCTCATGGACTCTGATGTCCTGCTTCTGATCTCGGCTGACTTCTTCTTCTTCAACTTTTTCCTGCTTCTTCTTTGAGGTTTATTGGCGGTTGGCAAACGACGTCATGTGGCATTACCGCCACCTACTGGTGCGGAGTGTGGCCCGAACTCTAATAATTAAATAGATTTTTTAAAAACACAAATAACTCATGTCTTCTCAATCCTAATAATTTCTTTTAGATAATAAATAGTAATCAGATTAATTCCCTGAGTTCTTCTGTAAAATATCTTTTCAGGTTTTGGATCAGTTGCTTTCTTTCATCTTCATATTTCTGACAGTACATAACAGGCTGTACTGTCTCTTCTTACGATACCATACGATATACTTTATTGTCCCCGAAGGGAAATTTGTCTGTGACTTAAGTGCTGTGCACTTTGCCTGCTTCCATAAAAAACAAACAATAAAAACACATAACACATAAATACACAATACATACAACAATACATCATCATACAGCATTCCCTTAAGAGGGCACCATGGCACTGTTGCTCAACCCTAACAGGCTATTTACTCTTTAGTATAGTAACTGAGATAGGCACAAAGGCAGAGGTGGGTAGAGTAGCCAAATATTGTACTCAGGTAAGAGTACTGATACTTTACTCAAGTAAAAGTAAAAAGTAGTCATCCAAATAATTACGTGAGTAAGAGTAAAAGAGTATTTGGTGAAAAAACTACTCAAGTACTGAGTAACTGTTGAGTAACGTCTGATTTATTTGTAAAATAAGAACATGAACATAATCAATCAATCAAAAATAATAATCTGCATTCATGTATTTTAAACGATACCTCTTCAACTAAAACAAAAATAAATTAAATCTTTACAAACATAAATCAAGGCACAAGAAACACAATATATATTCTTATATATACTGTACACACACACACACATATGTACATATATATGTAATTATGTACTCAGAGGTGGGTAGAGTAGCCAAATATTGTACTCAGGTAAGAGTACTGATACTTTACTCAAGTAAAAGTAAAAAGTAGTCATCCAAATAATTACGTGAGTAAGAGTAAAAGAGTATTTGGTGAAAAAACTACTCAAGTACTGAGTAACTGTTGAGTAACGTCTGATTTATTTGTAAAATAAGAACATGAACGTAATCAATCAATCAAAAATAATAATCTGCA